ATATGGGTCAATGACCTTCACACTAATAGAAGATATGACTGTTTAATTAAATGAAGTAACGCCTTTAGAACAAATGAAGTAACAACTTGGTTATAAAGGCACAAAAAGACTGAAACACAAATCATCTGATATATCAACATACTGCAAATAAACATATAAAAAGCACTTGGTGTAAATTTAGTTATTTCAAACAAAGTCTATATAACAACCACATGTCCTCAGTAACAGATGCTACATTTACACAAATATAACATCTGTTACATTTGACCACTTTCTAAATGGCATAGTGTAATCACATCTCAATCTCGTTAAGTAGTAAACCTTGCATTTTCTTTCAGTCAAGCCTCACCGATAACATGCAATCCGTTCTGAGGATATTCCATGAGGTGCCCAATGGTTAGGGTATCTCAGCACACGTTTCACGACGTACAATGACCTAAGAAAGAACCTCTTTCAAGTCTTCCTAATGATAAAATATGAACCGCCATCCCATATGGTAACATTCTACAGTCTACAATAACCTGAATATGTAATCACACAGGTAAATAGTCACGTTTTTGAACGCTCCAAATCTTTATTACAGTAAGGATGATAGTCAATAATGTTTCGAAACTGATTTTTTATAAATGGTATTTTTCGCTTGGTTAGGAAAATTTGTATAAGTGTTGTCAACTGTCATAGAAAGGATTTCTCTTTTTTGAGGTAAGAATTAGAGATTCATCCTAAGATTTTACTACCTATTGGCTCATCTCTTATTAAAACTACGTACAAGATTAAATTTAATCTCACAGTCTTATATTGTAAGATCATTCATGATTTATCAACTATATAACAATAATGAACAAAGAAACATTATGTTATGTAAACTGAACATATTAGAACTAACTTTCAAAAACATTTCCTGATTTTACGAACCTGAAAACAACTTAGGCCTACAACACATGAAGACGTCAAACTCACAAAGTATGGCGTTACCAAGGACCAGTCCAAGCTTTGTTGGAGCTCACTGAACTTTGATAGAATGTAAGCAAACACACACACACACATTGGTTAAAATCACATAATTGATGACACAGACACACACAACCGACACACATCGAACACACACACACACACACACACACACACACACACACACATACACATAGCTTACATAGTTCTGGTTGTTTACATACATACATACATACATACATACTGACTAGTACATGTTACATACATACAGAGTTTAGATTTGAACGTGGATAATGTTTGCTCGGATCTTAGGTCAAGTGGGAGAAGGGGTCGTGCACGTTCAAAAGTGCGGTCAACAAACGTTTTTGTACGGGAGGAGGGTACAACGAGGAGAGACTTGTCACATGAGCGCAGTGTCCTATGTGGGTGGTATCTGGTCAGTAGACTGCTGATTTAATCTGTTGCTTTGTTGTGAGGGACAGGAACATAAGTACAAGTATCTTGTACTGTATCCGGTAGTGCACTGGCAGCAAGTGAAAGTCCTGCAGTCCATACTGACTGTATGTGGTCGAATTTCCTCTTCCTGCTGACAACTGGCTGCGGTGTTCTGCACCTGTTGCAGTTTCTTGATCAGGTAGTTAGGAAGCCCGAATAGGAGGGAGTTTTAGTAGGTACCACCTTTTTTGCCTAATATTCCTGCTGTTTAAATATGCTCGTCTGCAGGTGGTATTGACATGAGACTCAAGACTGAGACTGCTGTCAAAGATAACGCCTAAGTTGCGAGCTTTTTTGCTGATTGGAATTTCAGTCTCCAATGAGAAACAATGGTAGTTGGTACCGTAGATGTAGATGTTTTAGGCCGATGATCATCATCATGATTTCGTTTAAGGAAATGCGATGTCATATATGCCTTGATGTGTTCAACACAGTATTGGATTTGTTGAAAAGCATTGATTGCTGAAGGCGGTTCCATAGGCTTGTAGGTGAGATAGAGCTGCGTGTCGTCCGTGTATAGGTGGAAGCCAAAACTAGCTCCTTCTTGTCGGACACTTGCCCATCAATGCAGACTGATCGGTATCTTTCAGAAATGTAAGACGCAATTTCATTCCAATGCCTTGTCTGTTACTCCTAGCCTGTTCCGAAGTGTCGTAAACAGAATGCAGTGGTCTATCGTGTCGAAGGCCGCGGAGAGATCCAACAACACAGCAACACAATAACTGCTGCTCCATCCGTGTCCACCGCTCTCAGTAGATCATTCTGGAGGAGTGTACTCTCAGAGCTGTGACGTGTGCAGTATGCTGATTGTAGAGTTTCGTACAAGTTGTTACATGCCATGTGTTTGTTTCAAACATGCTGTGACCATCCGCTCGGTTAGTTTTGATGCGTATGACAGATTGGAAACTAGGCGATAGTCGCTGTCAAGATTTGGTTTGTTGAGGAGCGTTTTTTCACTGCTTCCTTCATTTCGGGAGGGCCTTCTGGTTCTGAGAGAGACAGATTGATGGCGTGAGTGAAAAGTAGGAGGACCGAATCTAGTGACTTCTTCAGTAACCATGTTGGCATGGAGTCAATCAGACTTGACTTATCTTCAAGATCAGGCATCTCGTTTCAGTCTGGGTGGTGGGCTCAAAAGCTTGCAGAGAGACATCTCTATCATATTTTACGTATGCTTCGCCCGGTGTCTGCAAACTTTGATCTTGGTAGCAAGATGTTAATCATGCAGTACAACCATTGTGGAGTGGAAAATACATCAGTTTGAAAAAAGAACGACCTAACTGGAGTCATGTGGTCGATTCCCCGACTGAATAAATTAGTTCATTATGAAATCTGTACTCAAAAGAACTCACTAATTTCCATAGCTCGCATTAACTGCATTGACTGCTGGATACATTTCCGGGGTTCTAGCGATCGCAAATTAACATTCCTTGATTTTCACTGACATTTTACTCACCCATCAAACGCTGACATAAGAAAAAGTAAGGGTAAGGATAAGGGAGGTAACTGGACTTGGTATTACATAAGAACAGAAAGCCACCGCCACCTTTATTGGACATGAAAACATCCTTTCCATCAAAACGATTTGTGAGGCCTTTCTTTCAGTTTTGTCAATGTGGAATGTTTTGGAACACGATAATAATCAATGGGACTGGAAAAATAGAAGTACTTTTGATCTTGTATTAAAATTAGTGTACTTTGTTAAACTTGTTATAATTACCCAAACACGAACGAAACTAGTTATCTTTGGTTGTGAGAAAATACACGATACTCCTTGGGAAAGCCTAATTTATTTGAGGATTTACACGATTTTTGTGAGTGGTCGTTTATGTCATTACATTTCACAATTGTAAATGGATAGGCAATTTTAGGTCCAAGTGGGTACAGCCCTCTCTGATCATTACAATCGGGACAGTATTTTGGCTGATATTTTATTTACTACTTAAATATATAGTATTTTAAAGGTTTAAAGTGAATCAGTAAATGGATCCCTTTTATTTTATTATTTCTTTTCTGGGTATAAATGTGCATATATAAAAGTGAGACAGTTACACATCTGTCGAAATATATTCCCAAATGGCTCCTTTAAAACGGTTTCAAAATGAAAAACCAAAAACAATTGCATACATTACTGCAGAAAGTATAAGTCGCATGAAGACTCGAACTATTTTTTAATGGCACCCCATCAACATTGTAAAGGAGGCAAAGTTCCTTGGACTTATTTTTAATCATCTGATCTTTTACTGCATACTAAATAGGGCACTTTGATTGTTGAAAGTAGTTTCTAATTCAAAGTTTAGACTGGATAAGACCACCTTCGTACACATATATTGCCCAAAATTGTATTATAGTTCTAACAAGGTACTAGCCTTCATCAAGGTCTGAGGCATTACCCTTTGAGCATTCTGGATATCAATTATTCACAGCCTGTATGTGGAGGCGGGCGCGCCATGCCTAAAACAACCTTGCAATTTTCACAAAATTATTTTCTGACAAATCAAACCCAACTTTTCATTGCGTAGGAAATCCGTTTTACGAATACCTTTACAATAAGAAATCATTTGTTATTCCACCTTGGGATATAGATCAAATCTGTCATGTCTGCTGACCATATTAGACTTAAAGATATTACTCCCATTATGATTAACTTTAAGAAATTCGAAACCAGCCAGCTAATCTACCAACAAGAATACCATCAATATTAAACTCTCTATCTACATTTAGATATGGATCCAAGGATGATGACTCAGCTGCTTGTGCCACTGTCACAGATCCTTAACAATATCTTCCAGATTACCAGGGGCGGTGGGGTAGCCTAGTGGTTAAAGCGTTGGCTCGTCACGCCGAAGACCCGGGTTCGCTTCCCCACATGGGCACAATGTGTTAAGCCCATTCCTGGTGTCCCCCGCCATGATATTGTTGGAATATTGCTAAAAGCGGCGTAAAACTAAACTCAGTCAGTCAGTCCAGATTACCAGACACCAGCTCCATTTCACTGCAGATGCCATATTACCTACACTTAAATATATTATTAAACAGTCCAGATATAAGCAATACGTAATATTTTCAGACTTCTACTTTCATGCCTTCAGAGTCAGGAACCTAATCGCCAGCACACAAAGTCTAGGCGTCTGACGTCTGAGCGGTCTAGGCGTCTGACTTGGTGTGCTGGCGATTAGGTGCCTGACTCAGAGGGTGTGGGTTCGAATCCCGGATGGGACTCAACCCAAAAAGTACTAGAATCTATACTTTACAAAGAAAGTGTAATCTCAAATATAACATATGTTAAACTCTAGCCTGTTTTATATTGTGTTGTTAATTAATAGTTAAATATTTCACATGGTCTCTAACTAGTTTCAAATAGGATATGTGCTAATCTAGTTACTATACTGTCTTTCGAAGACTGGATTTTGAACCTTAAACTATATTGGTTCTTAATGCATATTTTCACTCGTCACAATATAGCTGTAATATTGAACTTTCTATATACAGTTTCCAGAAGTAGCAGTAAGCCGATCTCACTCTCAGACCATGAATCTCTGCTTCGCTTCCAGGCGTCTCCCGTATCACTTAGCGGTGCATATCTCCACCCAGTGGACTCCGGGTTCTCATTGGTTGCAACACCTACATCGGCAACGTACGTACTTAGTATCTTATGTTTTACACATTATGCCAAAATGTACAACCGACTCCTTATCGTGGGCCTAAGTTAAAAGGTTCCTCTATCCACCCAGAAAGCAGAATCAAGATTAGTCCTTAAATACCTGTGTGTTCTGAAAATGGAGAAGACCAAATGCACTCATCTGTGTGCTCCCCATTGGTTATAATTGTCCACCATTGTACACCGACATACCGACCAACTATGTTGTTAGGTATATTAGGAGGAAACGTAACTTGGTACTATTTTTACACAACAAAACATCTATTACAATCAGTGATCGCTTAATATCTTATGGATCGGATCAGGGAAACTTAATTGTTCAAAATAATGATAATTATTTTAGATTTGATGTGACATTCATTGCGGGAAATGGAGACTACCTCTTGAAGATTGCAGTGAAAATTGATCAGACAAAGGTCAACCGAAACAGCCGTGTGTCTTCTTCATGGCAGACCTCCGAGACGGCCCTGATATTCCCGTTCCCTTTCGCAGTGGATAAGATGTTTATCATGGACATCTTGTCATCGGAGTCTGAGTTCAAGGTCAGCTGTAGACATTCTTTTAGCCTATTAAACAGTTGTAGTACTCATCCTGTACTGACATTTTTCTTCTTTGATTGGCATTCTAGAAGTTGAGGAGATGAAGAATAAAGACAATTTTATGGATGTACAACTTCTCTATTTTGTATACGCGACGTTTCGACATAGATTAGTCGTTGTCAAACAAGCGGAAAATTGTCACTTGCTTGACAACGACTTTGAATCAACGTGGAAACGTCGCCTATACAGAATAGAGAAGTTGTAGAACCATAAAATCATATTTCATATTCTACTGACATTTTGTCGTCACTTGTACACTCTCGGCGTCATTGAACATGTACAAACGCACATACGATTGCTTACATGCCAACGTTCACACGCACACGCACTCGGAGACACACACGCGCACTCACTCGATACGTACATGCTTTAGAATGACACCCAACTATTCAGTGTATATTGAAACTTCTATTTTTACGAATCAAAAATATTTATGCAGATGTAGATTTAGACGTAGTGTGATATTTTACTTTGTAAGAAGAAGCATAATGATATTCTCCGTGCGCGGTTGTTTACTTTGATGAAATAGAATTGATTTGCCTTTGTCTGCATTCTCACGTCAACCATCTTGTATATGTTTCAGTGCAAGATTGATGGCGAGACGTTGTTCACCTTCCAACATCGCCTACAGAGAGATAGCCTAGAAACTATCAAAATAGTTGATGTCAACATAAAATCTATTATATTAATCTGAATCAGTGAGGAAAATATATCAGGAACGCATTTGCAAGTTCAACCTATTTCACATCATACTGCTGTGGCACTGGTTTAGAAACTCTGGGGAATCGGTTAAAGTACTGACTTGTCACAGTCCCCACAGAGCATGTGACCTGTGTGACATTCTTGGCATCCCGCACCAGATGTCACCAATTACAGTGTCCTATCATTGTTCGCTTCTGTTATTTATTAACCGCGTGATAAACAAATAGGGGTTGACTTAACCCTTTGTGCTTATAGTAACACCATCCGTTTAAGAGGTAGAGAGAGATTGGTTAAAGGCCTCTCCGAATTGTGTTTTGTGTTTGTTGTTGCAAACGCTACAATGTTACTTTGATAAGAAGTTTACCAGTAAGTACACAACTCTGGGCCTAACAAAACACCAGAACGCCGCCCCACCAGCCATACTCATAATAATAAAACAACAACAACACCACCATAATCATAAAAAATCAAGTTTGGCAGAGATATATATGTTCATCGAATGCCAACATCATCTCTTTGGGCACCTTTTCTTCAGCACGGCAACACTCTTGATTACACAAGTTCCGGTCGTTCAAGTGAACAAAACAACTATATTTGTATAATGCATCCAAGGAATCGATTCTAAATTGCTATATGAAGGGCTAGGACAATTCCCGGGTTGGAACAGTTTTCGGTCCTGACGTCCAGCGATTCGCCCACGTTAACGTTAACGTCAGCCACGCCTCGTCTGGTGCAGACTGCAGACAGCATGTGAGGTCACGTTGACAAGACTGGGACAATATTAACAACAGAAATGGTTCCGGGTTTCATCTGATGGCCTCACAAAGGTTTCAGCGAGTCCGCTTGTGTTACCAAGTTGTAAGTGTGTGGATGACATTTTAGGGATGTGGGTAGCTTCACAACTCACGGTAGAATACAACTCATTATTGCTCTCATTAATTTGAATTTGTTCGCAGCCATGTTCAATCCTTAGTGCAAATGCAGTGACGTAACTTCACACTAGAGCCGAATAATTGAAAGTGGGGCAGCATATCATTGCTGTACCGCCTTGGCCAGTAATGTCTCTTGACCTCCTGTCACAGAACAGGTCATGAATTCATTGGGTTGACGCCTACTGAAGGGGCCAGAACCAACAGGTAACAGTAGCACTGAATTCCACACCTACATACTATCTCAAGGTCTTCTTCTCATTGATCTTAGGGTTTTTCTTTCACAAATACACAGACCATTGCAGACATAATTCTAATGGCATGAATTGTCTATACAATTACCATCTGCCAGAGTTGAATGAACAATACCAACCTCAATTGGCAATATGTTAATGTATCACCTTCACTCAGTAATGATAAGAAGTGCTCACGGAAAGGTGGGCTATGACACTCGCCACAAAGACACAAAAGCCTAGTCATCAGTTCGATTTTAAACGCTTAAAGATATGGAACTAGTCAAAAGTACTTTGTCTATGTTCCCAGTCCACCCAGCTGTGAATGGGTACCTCGTAAGGATGGGAAAGCCACATTAACTTGGTGCGTCAAAATGGCTGCAAGAGTCGTAAGATCCCCAGGGACTTGAGGTTGAGATTTACATCCTATGATCGTGGGATAAAAACAAAGCGCCTTGGAGCAGATGGGCTGAGATGGATAATCTCTCTCTGTCTCTCTCTAATAGGAATTTGCTTTTCATTTACCTGTCAATGATCTGTTATATTTAGAATTTTCCTTCACATCTATACACTAAAACGTTTGAAATTTCGTCTCTCAATTCTCAATTCATTGCCGTCTTCAGCTAAAAACACAGTGGATATTCACACATACTTGGTGGTTACCATCGCAATAGATGTGACAATAGAATCTTATCCACAAAAATCACCAGGTCAGTGTTGAACATAACCAGCAAACACCGTCCTCTGGTGATACAGTTTTGTACATAGCACCCCACACGGCAGCAATGGACCTTGAAGAGTAATGGAGGTTGATTTGTTCTACCAGGTCGAAGTTCGAAGATTCTGAATATGGTGGAGTTACTTCAACGTCAATGGCACATCCATAAAACTTTAAAATAGCGACAATTCCAATATTTAGTAAAGTTTGCTGAGGAATAAGATTTCATGTGAGCATTTCTACAAGTTGTCATCCAAACAATCGGGACAGTTGATTTTAAAGAAATGACGTTAGTTTGATCAAAGCAGTGCAAAAATACAACATGTTGAGATAAAATGAAATTTATTAAATATCTGTGAAATGTTATTTGGTCACTTTATGTTGTAAGGAAAAACCCTTTGTATATTATAATTATTACTGGAACCAGTGAACAATACAACTAGTTCATCTAAAAGACTATATCTTACATTTCGCATTACATATGATCTTCTTTCGGAAGATTCTAAGATAACTGATCTGAAAGGCGTTCTTGATGTCTTGGTGTAAAAATAATTACAAATATTTGCTCGGTTCCAAATTAAGGTCTGCATTAACCCGTCAGGCATAGGTTTTCCTGAGATTTACAGCTCTAGTTTAGAAAGGGCGACTTCCATTCCAGTCTAGCTTAGAAAAATAGCTTGAAAACATTTGAAAACTGAACAAAAGAGAATTCTGTAATGTTTAATAAACGTCCGAGATTGAATGATAGTGTTTCTAAAGGTCTGAGAAAGGTCACGGAGAATTTTTAGGTTTTGACGTTTTGCATTCGGAATGCAGCCCGTAACCTTTTCCAGATTGTATGTTTAAAAACCATATTGGAACTGTCAGGTTCACCACATCGTACGCAACGCTCTGATTGGTTTCATGAAAGGTTCTTGGTTGTTTTTGATGTTGTGACAGACTGCCTATAAATAAAACAGGCTGGACATCAAAGAATCCACACCTGGGATACAATGACAGTCAGGTATTGGTTGCTGTAGGTGAATTCTAAGCTGTATCTTCACGAATAGATAAAAGGACGAATTTAAAAAATATTTATATGTATATTTGTATAGCGCCAATATCCAGCTCAGCTCAGCTGCTCAAAGGAGCTTTGATGTCAACCTCAAACGGCACATTGTATTATTAATTTCAACTCCTTGGGGATCATAAAACTCTTGCAGCCACTCAAGCTCGCTTGATTACTTGCCTGGCGCCTTAGACAGCTCGCCCACCACACCCACGACATTGTAGTGAGTGAGTGAGTGAGTTAAAATTTAAAGTCACACCGGCAATATTTCAGCCATAACGTGACTAAAACTAGTACTAAATTTATAATACACACACACACACACACACACACACGTATATGTATATCTATATATAAAGAAAGTGATGAGAATACCGAACGTACAGTAGTACATATATAAGAAGAAGTTTCTGAAATAATCACATCGACACGGATCTTCTCCCACATGTTTCACTTTTATCTTCAGGGAGAAGTGATTACAGTTAAACGGATTATGTTATGACGTTTAAATATATATAACGTATGTGAGGTGGGAAGTCGCAGGTTTCAGCTCTCCTACAAAATTGTGAATATCGTCTTTAAGATGGCTCACTAATACCACTTTGGACACAAATCTGCATTTAGACCACTATGGATAACACACTGGATGTTTCCATGAGCAAGGATCGGGTGTTTCATCCCTCTCCGTGGACAAAGTTGAACAAAGTTGAACGGGTCTGGGAACGATATGCGTGAAATACCACAGGATATTTGCAACTTGCCTTGCGGACTGAACATTTGATCAGCCTACTATTATTGATGATTTGAACAAGGTATCCCACACCTTTGGTGACGTCACGTCAATCACATACTGTATGATGTTGACCCATATACGAAATGTATGCGATCCAGGTGAGATGCACGTGTTGCCCAAGCGGGTTATGACTCTTATACTATTGTGTGCAAATGACGTCGAGTCAAACCCCGGGCCTGTAACCTTACAAGATCTTGACAACATTAAAGAAGCAATCCAACAAAATTGAAGCTGAGAATCACATAATACACTCTGACGTCGATACGGTTGATGAGAGAAAGTCGATTACATTAATGACAGACTTTCACAATTGACGCTGAACTCGATAAACTCGTGTCATTTAGTCGACGAGACAACATTATTATCTATGGTATTGATGAAGATGAAGGCGAAAATCGATATCTTGTAAAGAAAAATCGATCAGTGTACTTTAATGATACCGCAACATTCAAAACGTGGCAACCGTCTGATGTTGCGCGCGCCCATCGCCCTCAGTGTGAAGAAGCCTGGTAGTGACAGACCACGACCAATAATTGCTAAACTGGTGCTCTCCGACGACAAGGTACGCACATTGAAAGCCAGAGCGACATTTAAATCGAATGGACTTGGAATTGGAAGTGATTTAATCACGCGTCAACGCCAACAACTGCAAGCCCTGAAAGGAACGGGAAAATTCGGCTTCTTCCAGAATGGCAAGCTTGTCACGATGCCTCGTACGTCGGCTGATCAACGTGGATCTACTTCACAAGATACAGGAGACCGAATGTCGGACAGACTTCGACGAAATAGAAGTAAGTCGCGCCCTGTGAAATAGGACAATGGCCATGGCCCGGATCTTCGCACAAGGAACCTCTAATGTGAACACCGGTGATAATCCTGCTCACAATGTTACGGACAGAGGCACGGTCTCTTTCTTATGATGGAATGTTGGCGGTCTTCTCAGCAAAAATAAATGATGTTGACTTTTTATCTTATATTAGTAAATTTCATATTGTGCCTTGTTGAGACATTTGTTGTAAATATTCCAGGAAACAACTGGCTACGTGGGTATGATACTCTCTATTGTCCTGCAGTTAAGTTATCCAACTACGGACGTTTATCAGGTGGTATTTGTCTGTGTGTACGTCAAACACTGAGGAGTTTCTATAATGTTATACAATCAGACAGAGGCAACATAATTGGTCTCTCCTTATTTAAAGACTTATTTAGAATTGACAAAAATGTGAATTTGTTATGTACCTATATCCCTCCATCGGGTCACCATACTATAACCATGTAACCACCAAGTGTAATATTGTAAAAGTAGAAGAATTCTTGTTAGATAATAATGAAATGTTTTCAAATTCATATAATTTAATCTGTGGAGATATGAACGCGAGAACAGGTGAGAGAAATAACCCTGATATTAGCAATCACGACGATACCCTCAGGCATACTACCCCTTTCCCTGATGAGGAGGATGAC